ATAGTTTTTCACCATATTTTCAGAAACACAGACACACACACACACACACACACACACACACACAGCTGTATTTCTTCAGCTGTAGTTTTCATTCAAAATGAAAACAGTATATTTGAGCTCCATGGGTGAAAATATTTATTCTAACAAATTAGATAATTTTCCTTATTGAGTAGAAAACATATGAAAATTGGTACCACTCTTTTAGAAAATAAAATAGCAGTATATTCATTTATTCAACAAAATAATGTAAGCACTTCTTATGTGCCAAGAATGAGCCTGGATCTTAGGGATTTGGTAGTAAAAAAAAATTAATAGAAGCTATTGGAATTTGTGGAGATGCCATTCTTGCAGGAGGAGGCTGACTAAATCAGAGATGTAAAATAGAAAATCTGTCCTGAGGCCTTAAGCACCAGAGAGCCAAATAAAGCAGGAGAGGCACATGGGTTGGGGGTCAGGTTCCTACGACGTTAGGATGGTCAGGGATGTCCTCACTGACGGGGAGGCATTTGGACAAAGCCTGGAAGTAGTGAAGTGATGACCGTGACATCTCAAGGAAAGAGCTTTCCAAAGAGAACAACAAGTAAAAAGTTCCCGAGCTGGACACATTAGGTTTAAAGTGCTTATTAAAAGTCCAGGCAGAAATGCTGAATAAGCAGTTGAAAGTGAGCAGGAGTTCAAGAGAATAACCAAGTGGGAGATATAATTTTAAAGTCATCAGAATATGAATGGTACTTAAAGCCATGCATGGATAAAATTACCAAGGGAATAAGAATAACTAGAGAGAAATCCAAGCCTCCAATGAACATTAGGGGCCCCAAGACGCCCAATGAGAGTTAAAAAATGTTGTTGCAGTTCAGAGGTGATCTGGTTGAATGGTGGTGCTCTTCAAAGTGAGACTTTGAAAAATATTTCAAAGATCTCTGGGCCACAACTATCTGAATCTACATATAGTGTGATGGAAGGCAACAACCACTGGAGGAAAAGAGGTCAGGGACTTGAGAAGCCAATGAATGAGAGAGCTTATTTATTTGGATGCCAAAATCACAAAGTTGTTATAAGACTAGCGCTTGAGAAAGTTACAAGGGTTCAGGGGCTAAATATTTTAAGATATGAGAAAATGGATACAAATCAATAGATGACTGTAAGAAGGACAAGTAATGAAGGATATCATTTGATGACATGAGATTCACAGCTGGGAGTTTTAAGGAAGAGGAAGAAAGAAAGGTCTGGAAACAGCATGAGAAATAAAGAGGTAACTGCGCCCATCTTCAGTGCCAGAGATGTGAGGCAGGGAGTGGCAGAGGAAGAAATGTCCTCAGAGTTGGGAACAGAGCACAGGTTTCCATTACAACCAAAGGGAACCCTTAGGATTAAGGATTTAGGATTTTTGCTAGTTACTGATTAAGAATTCAGGGAGAACAATAAATGGGATTCAGGAATGGCAAGGATGTGGGATGAGGTCAGGAAGAAAGATTATGCAAGAGAGGTTTTAATATCCAAGAAGAAGCCATGTAGAGAAAAAACATTGTTTTTCTAACCTTTACATCCCCTTTGTTGAGGGAAGTTTCATTCTTGAGGATTATAGATGATGAAAGTAAAGCCCAGAAAATTGAAGGGATTGGCCCCAGGTCACACAGAGAGTTGGTTCTTACATCGAGTAACATGGCCTTCTTTGACACCATCTTCCTTCTTCCCAGAATTCACTTTTGAAAAAGTCCATTAAAGCACTTCTGCCAGGAACCCATAAAGATGGGGAGAAAGCTTTCAAATCCCTGGTGAAAGGGGCCCTTGAGCAATATAAGTTTAAGAGTGAGCTACCAAAGGTATTGAAATGGAGGGTAAACAGGCAGAGTCAAGGTCTAACACAATGCTTACCATGACATTTTCAAAAACAGCTGAATACAGGGAAGGTCCCAGGGACTGTGTTAACACAGAGACAATAAACCGCACTTCTTGAGTTTGGTGCTCCTGATAGTGTAAGTCAGGGTTGTAATGACATGTGTCCCGTGTTTCTGGTAATGTACCCTTTAGGATAGGGTCCAGCTACATCTCCAACACCAGATTTTCAAAACTATTATGCTTTATAATTTATATCTAGGGAATTGTAGCTAATAATCATAGCTCGATTTTATTCAACACCAGGATATATGTTATATACTTGACAAGCATTATCTAAAATCTTTCAGGTTGGTATTGTTATTATTCCCTATGTAACTAATAAATCACAGAGCGATTAAATAACTTGCATGAGGCTTCCCAGCTAGAAACTGGCAGAGCCAAAATTGTAACCTCATTAGAATAACTAGAATAACTTCAGTACCTTCACTCTTAATCACTGTGCTGTATTGCTTTAAAGGGCAAGGCTTCAAGCAGTGTAAGATATGTACATTTATATATAATGTATATATTATATATAATGATATATAAGTCAAATGGATAGAAACAATGACTTTGCCTTAATTCCTATGTTCTAATTTCCTTTCCATTTTCATTTAATAAGAATAATTATTTATTCTAAAAAAAGAATTTGGCTATTTTTATTTAAAAGCCCAGTAAATTACCATCCACCCCAGAGGAAACCACAAGATATCTACATTCTGTCATAATTTAAGCTACATTCTGTTAGTAAGTCGGCCTCGGTGACTGTCTCAGACATTCAGTGAAGCTGTAACCCACTAAACAGAGTTATATAATCATGGGAAGAAACAGCTTTGTTGTGCAAATTTTTAGACAATAGCCTTAAGATGAACTAAAAAATGATAAAGCATATAAAAAGTATTCATTATTTTCCACCCGAGACACAAAGCCAGGACCACACCAAGGTTATTCAAAAAGAAAATCCACATATTTTACATTTTACTAACGGCTTACATAAAATAAGTTGCTGGCCACAAGCCGTAAGCTATTTCTGCCCTTACCAAAAAAAAAAAGTTCCAATTATAAAAGAAGTGGTTTGGCTGAAAACAAGACAAAATAAAACAAAAGCTTTACGTACAGCAAAGCAGTGATGAAATTCCCACTCTTATTTGATTAAAAATACATTTCATTTTAAGGGAAAAAAAAAGAATAGCTACCCAATAGCATATGGAAATAATTATTTTTATTGCAATTTTTTACACTTTCAGCATATTCAACCTTCCAACTCCCCAGGAAGTTATATGAGTACTGAGAGACTTATATCATAAAACTAATAATCTGCCCAACAATTTGGTTTTAAAGCATATAAATTAAGCTGCATAACATTTTCTTATTTGAATGGTATCTCTGCAGTCTACATAAAATCAGTAAACAAGAACTAAAAAATAGTAGCTTGTTCTATTCTTTTGCATGTTTATATTTATTAGTTATTATTATATTTTACTTTCCTAAACTCTTTTTTCTTTCAGCAGTTATCATAATTTAGCCTAATATGCAGAAACAGACACTCATTCATTCATTCATTCATTCATTTAACAATCAAATATGCAGAAACAGATATACAGGTACATAGAGAACTATATTCCATTTAGGCGGCTTCTCCTTTTAATTTACATTCATTGATTTAACAAATGTTTATTAATGTCTAACATGTGCCAGTGACGTACCACTGAGATCAGTACAGGGTGACTCCAGTTTCTGTGAAGTTATGGTTCTATTAGTAGATATTTCAGCAAAAAAATTTGCACAGATAGAACCATTAGCAAATCTCAAAATATGTCATGCAGGTGACTGCCCATTCTACCAGCTTTCCAATTACCATTTAACTAGGATTCCTCAACACTTATTTTAGGAAGGTCTTCTACATTTTCTTTAGCATCAAGCAAACAGTGGTCAAGCCTCTGTAGCATAAGCTCTGAGTACATGGGAAAAGAAGGTTTAAATAAATTTCTACATTCAGACAAAAGCCATGAGAATTACTGAACATTTCAATGAGTTAAAAGGTTCCTCCACGGGGGAAAGACATAAGTGATTTATATGAGGTGGACAATATGAAAATAGAGGTTCCCATCAACCCTTAGGATGATCCTGAATAAACTCTAAATGTCACAGAAATAGAATACTTTCAATTATGAGGTAGTTATCTATTAAAACAATTTCATCCATTACACCTTTACCTTATGAAGAATTTTTGACAGCATTTACTTCTTTTCATACTCTTCAAATCCAAACTCAACTGACACCCACCCGTTATTCCACTACCCAAGGGCCTCAAATTATCTGATCAAGCCTTAAAAGAATTTAAGCTACGGCGCAATATAACAATGAACAATATTAAACAACTCATTGTATCTGTTTGAAATTCTGACATTATATTCACAAATATTAATAGTTTGGAGAAAATTAGTTGGATTAATGAAAACGTGTTTCATGAGCCTCTACTTGATGCTGAAATTCTTTCTATAATAGTCTAGATAAATAAAAGAAGTAAAATTGCAATTGGAGCAAGGAATTATGCAAAAGTGACTTGAGAACCCAAGAAGGAGTTTATTCTGCAAGTTTTCAAAAATTTCTTCCAAAATTAATCAAAGTCCCACTCTACAAGAAGAGTTTTCTCTTAATGACAGTATGAAGCTCAAAAGCATGAGTAATAAGTTAAAAAAAAGAAAAGGTACAAAATAGTTTCTTTGAATCAATAACCCCCTAGGTCTTCAAGCAGCTTACCAAAGTCCAAAGAGTTTTTCAATCACACTTAAGGGATTTTAAAGAATCATCTATATTTTCTTTTGAAGAATTATGTCATTTAAAAAAAAAAAACAATAACTCAACTACTGAGAAACTTTAAAATGTATAAGAATTTATCCTTATAATTTTCTAACACTTAAAATTCAAGCACGTCAAAATAATTCAATCTCTAAAGTCAAAAAGGAAACTAAAAATTATTAATACTTGTTTCTGAAATCTTTTTGGCAAAGTATTTGAAATGAAATATAAACTAAATCACTGTTCAATACTAGCCATTTTACTTTGCATTTTAAATGAATGAAAATCACTGTTACCAACACTTATACAATGAGACTCACCATTTTCTTTCAGAAACCCCATCAAAGAAGAGGTCATGTATCCTGAGGACAAGCCAAGTTTGTTGATGGGGATGGTGTTTAAGTCCAATATTCTGTTTCAAAAACATAAAGTTAGAGCTCTTAGTGACTTAACAGTCCCTGTTTTGAAATAATTAGATACCAATCTTGGAAAGAAAACAACTTGCCTCCTATCAACAGAGACAATACCTGTTGTACCATCAGTGCCCTCCAGTCAAGGGCACATCGTAGGCCCTCCATAAATATTTGTTACTGAATGAAGACAAAATAATACCCAATTTTGATGGTTCTGAGCATGGATAACAAATAGTAACATTTACTTTCTGAACAACAACAAAAAACTAACAAAAATGAACATGCATCATGTCTATTTCCTCTCTATTTTGCAAAAGATTTTAAATATGTTTCCTATCATGACTTGGAAAGCTTCCACGTCAGTGGAATCACAAACCAGGTATTAGATAGAAACTTTAGAAAATGTAATAAGCAAAAGAAGAAAATTAAAATTACCCTTAATTCACCATCCTAATATTTTAGTGATAATTGCAGACCCTTTAGTGCTTCCTACTGGCCAGGCACTATACTAAACCCTTTGTGTGTCTATCACATCTAATCCGCATCACAAGCCTCTGGGTATTTACTATCATTATACCCATTTTATAAATGAAGAAACTAAGACATTTATGTTAAATACTATGCAGTTTAGATTATCTCAGCTAGAAATGGATAGAGCCAGGATTTAAATGGAGGCAGTGGGTAGAACTTAAAGAACAAAGCTTAAGCTTTCTATTATTACTTTATACTGACACCATTTGTCATGTATATTAAAATGTGCAATATATTCCATACCTGTTCTTTGTTTATGTGTACATAACTTTATATCTTATTTTTACACTTTTTATCATGAATACCTTTCCTTGTAAATGAGCAAAAATGCACATTGTTATTTTGGCCATTATATAACATTCCACTGTATGGATTTAACATACTGATGGTTTATTTATGAATCTTCTTTTGCTAGAGATTTGGGTTGCTTTCATTTTTGTTGTTATTTATAAACAAGAATAAATGTCTTTGAGTATTCATATGTGTGTACTTGTCCAATTATTTCCTTATTATAAATGCCTAGAAATGAAATTGTTAGTTCACATGTTATATAAATGTTAAATAAGCCCTGGCCGGTTTCGCTCAGTGGTTAGAGCATCAGCCTGTGGTCCCAAGAGACCCAGGTTCCGTTCCCGCTAAGAGCATGTACCTTGGTTGCAGTTTGTCCCTGGCCCTCGTTGGGTCGTGCAGGTGGCAGCCATTCAATGTGTCCCTTTCACGTTGATGTCTCTCTCTCTTTCTCTCTCTCTCTATTCCTCTCTCTCCCTCTCACTCTATCTGAACAAAAAATGAAAAAATTTCCTCGGATGAGGATAAAAAAAAAATTTAAATAAATTTTTAAGATTTTAAAACATTTTGCCCATCAGAGAGTAGGTATGTGTGGAAAGAGAGTGTAACTGTCCTGTTCAGAATTCTACATTAGGCACATGATAAGCACTCAATAAATAGTAAATAAATGAATGACTTATAAGACCCATTAGTCTAGTTGTCACTCATGTGGTCATGCCCATGCAGGTAGCCAAAGAACCGATGTATCCCTAATATAACAAAGTCATATTGCCCTGGCCCATGTGTCTCAGTGGTTAGAGTGTCAGTGTGTGCACTTAAAGGTAAAGGGTTTGATTCTCAGTCAAAAGCACTTACCTGGGTTGCAGGTTTAATATCCCAGCCCAGTAGGGGCTTTTGCAGGAGGCAACCAATCAATGTGTCTCTCTCACATTGATGTTTCTCTTTCTTTCTTTCTCTCTCTCTTTCTCTCCCTCCCCCCCCTCCCCATTCACTTTCTCTAAATATCAATGGAAAAAAATATCCTTGGGTGAGGATTAACAAAAAAAGTCATATTGCCAAGGCAAACATGAGAGGCTATAACTCCATTTGAAATTCTAGAATTTATTTGTTTGCCACCAAGAACTGGGCCAAAATAAAGTGATCAGTCACAGTTTGCTTTGCTTTCTTCTATGTGATCCATGGTTAAATATTATGTAAATTAGAACTATTTTAATTAGACTATTAATTGCATTTTTAAAAATTATTCCCTATTAATGAAAGAGTCTAATAGAAGTAGACTGCAATTCATCCACTTAAGCAAAATATTTTACAAACATTAAGGTGAAATAAAAGTCTTATTTCAACACAAATATGAAATACCATGAGAATTTCTATCATTATTTTATAATATCTTCATCTGTTAGTAAACCGATCAGAATTACCTAAATACAAATTGTCATATAACACATAGGAAACTCCTGCTGTTCACAAGACTAGGGGGAGAAGTCCAGGCTCACTTGCCTGAATTATAGAATGTATTTGCAGAAATGCAGTAGTCATACCTCCAATGGCACCAAATATTATCAACTAAAAAATCGGCTCTAATAAATGAATGAATAAAAAATGAATTTCCTTGATGAAAAATCAAAATTTAGAATTTCCTCCCATTTATCATTATTGTCATAAAAAAGAGTATGTTAATGTATGATAATTAATCTTTGAAGTTAAAATTCAAAGATACATAGCCCTGGCCAGCATAGCACAATGGTTAGAGCATTGACTTGCGCACTGGAGGGTCATGTGTTCAATTCCTGGTCAAGGGCACATACCTGAGTTGCATGTTTGATCCTTGGCCCTGGTCGAAGAGCATGCGAGGCAACCAATCAATGCATCTATCTCACATTGATCGATCTCTCTCTCTCTCTCTCTCCCTCTCTGCCCCCCCCCCCCTTGCTCCCTCTGTTCAACACTCTCTCTAAAAAAAAAAAAAAAAAAGGAAAAAATATCCTTGGGTGAGATTAATAAAATTCAAAGATATATTAAAGAACACTTCTTTGAACTTAAATTTTAAAAACCAGTATTCAATTTTGTTTTCCCTCTGCAAGTCAAACAGACAATTTGGGGAAAAGGAAATAAATCATACATTTATAAGATTCTATGCTTTTTCTCTGTGTACTATCCAAAGAAATTTCTTTTGTTTTATGGTCTACCTAAAAATAATGTGCCACATTAAAAATCAGTATTTTTCAAGGCATCTTCAGGGGAATTGTAAGTAGTTTCCATGCAGCTTCTCTCACAGAGGTCTACTGTCCTGGACAGAAACCCTTTGAGAGTGTCGCAGAGAGTTGTTCAATAGCTGCTAATAGTCCCAGAGCCTAACCCTGCATTTTCAACTATCCCATCTGACTTGCTGACTGATTTCTATTTTTCTTTCTGTTGCTAAGTTTTCTTATCTTGATTATGTGGTGAACTAGATTTCAATAAAAATTTCAGTGTAATGACATTTTATCTGCCTAATTAAGGACAGGTTTTCTAAAATCCTGAGTCATCATGTCCCAAAACAATTATTTGTCTTTCCTTCTGCATCTCCTTCACACTTCTTATATTAATAAAATGAAGCTAACAGCTAAGGTAGAAAACGTTACCGCCATAAACTATAAAGACAAGACAGTCTGGGTGGATTTAAGTTCAGGCATTATGTGCCCCAGGCTGTCATTGGAAGTGCAGGTACTTGCACTTAATTTCACAGGGTGTTGATCTTCCTCATTAGGCGAGACATACTTTCATAAAAAATAGGACATTAGGGTGTAGAGAGGCATTTATCTCCTACCAGTAGCAGAAAAAAATTATTACTTGGTAAATATCAACTCTCTTGAGGAACATACTGAAAAATATTATACATGAACAGATTTATTAGTAATAAGTGTCCACTTGTCCCTAAGTCATTATTATTTCTCCTTGGATTTCTGACACTAAATATACTAAAAATTGTAGGTTTTCACATAAGTTAATGTTTATATTTATTAAAATCTTACTTGAAATTCTAAACTATTTTTCTAATCCTCACCTGAGGATATATTTTTCATTGATTTTTAGAGAGAGGAAGGATGAGAGAGGGAGAGGGAGAGAGAGAGAAACGTCGTTTGGTTGCCTCCCTTACGCGCCTGACCAGAAATCGAACCCGCAACTTTTCACTGTATGGGATGATGCTCCAACCAACCAAGCTCCACCAGGCAGCCCTGAAATTCTAAACTATTTGGTTAAATTGCTATATTAACTCTCTTTTAAAAGCTACCACCCTGCTAGACCAACCTGGACCTTGGGTTAAATTAAGTAGAGGCAGAAAGGCTATTTTAAAAAACCAGTAAATTTCCAATACAGTCATTTCTTTTCCTTTGCAAATTAATATCTTATCACAAATAAAACCAAACCCTCACTATTAAAGCTCTACATATATTCTACTCTTCCAAACTTGAGTATCTTATCACACTTAATGAGGAAGTTACTTCTGAGCAAGAATCTTCTAGTGGTAAGTACAGTCTGCAGCATAGATATTGGATGATCAATGACATTCTGTACAGCCACGGCAACATTTTCTCAAATTTCTCTTATTTATAATTGTGCCAATTACTCCCAATTCCTGACCACGTCATAATAATAAATTAATGTAAAACAAGGCTCTGAAAAAAAAAACAAAAACATTTGAACAGAGCAGTATTTACATTCCACAAGTATGAATGGTCCTACCAAGCGTGCCAAAGGGACTTTACAGGGTCTACCTGTAGTTTTAAGGCCAACAATTGTATACACAATTGTAAAATTATCTTGAAGAGGCTGATGCTATTTAGTGGAATAATTTAGCAAAGCCACTGACCTATCTCCCCACACCTTTGGAAAGCAGAAGCCATACTCAAAATGCCTGCCTTCTAACTATGCTTTGTGGGATCAGCTTTGCCTTCTGTTATTAAACTAAAAAAATAAAAGTTATAACTTAACTCTGCTCCATAATTGCTGCAGATGAGTTATTAAAATCCCAAACTTATGTAATATTATCATAAAATGTGCCATTTTTCTCAGGAAAGCCACAAATTGGAGTGGAGCTTATACACTGTAAAACCCAGATGGTTTGCTTAACTACTCACACATCCTCCAGTTCAAAAGTTAATTGAACTGAAACTAAAATTTTGATAATTGATATGCTTTGAGGGACTCAAGCAGAAGGATAACTTAGCCTCAAGCACGGGGTGTTAATAGACTTGAGAAACCACAAGAATTGGTCTGAGAATATTGGCAAAGTGGAAGAAAATGACATATTTTCTATAGGTTAGCTTATTACACATTACCTGGATTTCTGATGGTACTGTTGCTTTTCTTTCTCCATTTCTTTACCCACTGATTCAATATTACACACTATTTTACCCAGTTTAACTTGTTCTGGAATTTAAAAAATAAATAAATAAATAAAGCTTTAATTGCATACTATTAGTTTTCAAGTTATAAGTGCATTTTTTCAAATTAAATTGCAAATCACAGATTTTTTAATAACAAGTGGTACAATATTTTTCCAAAAAAATTGCTAACACAGAGGTGCTCTAAAAACACATTTGAATGGGTTTTTTTTCGGCCCATGCTCCTCAAACGTTTCGCAATTACTAAAATTTAGCACCAAAAGTATAGAGTAAATGAACTGCATATATCAAGAAGGAGCGAGCTCCCCGAGAAATGTCTGCAACAGCACAGCACATGCCCGTGGATACAAACGTTTACACATATCAGCATTATTATCATCACGATCATCATAAGGCTTAGTTTTTATAGGCGAGCCCATTTTAAAATAATTTAGCAATCATTAGTTAATATAAATAGGAACACTGAGTGCTCCCAAAATCTCATCCATTTGATAGAAAGCTTAAAATTAAGAAAAGGCAGTTTCTGCTTTAAAAAAAAAAAACAAAAAAAATCTGGTTCTTAGAGTCCAAAGAGACAATTACAGAGATATTTCCAAAATGCCTATTACTTTCTATTTTGTACAGGCAACGGGACTAACATTTAGTTTGAAACATTACAACAAACTCTTGTCATACATGAAGTGTGCTCAAGTTACAAGCTCAGGTCTATGGTAGAATATATGAGATGAAACCTGTTTTAGAATTATTTACAAACTAGTGGTTTCTCAATGCTAACAGAAAAGCACAGTTGACTAATGAAGAATAGAACGTTAATATTTGTTGACTCTTTGTAATGTACCAGGGGTGTTAGCTAGCATTTCTTATGAATCATCTTACACTTAAGCCTTATGACGGTTTTTTTGCTTGTTTGTTTGTTTGGCAAAGTACTATGATTAATCCCTTTTATACACAAGGAGAGCAGATTACCCAAGATATTGTAAGTCAAAAGATGCAGAGCTAGGGAGCGAACCTGTATCCCTGACTCTAGCTTCCTCACCTTGATCTACTGTCCCAGAGCTCATGGAGCCTCAGGTACCTAATCAGAGGGAGGGAATTCCTGCCTTGTTTACTTTCGAGGTAACTATGGAGCTCAAAAGACATTTTATGTAAAAATACCTGGTAAGTTGAGAAATATCATATTAAAGTGAAATAGAGAAATAATTTATGTTTGAGTCTTAAAAATAGAAACATTTAAAAATATTTGTCACAAGCTAAATGTGCTAATGGCTTTATATAGATCATTTTATTTTATTCTCAGAACCACTCCATAAATTAGGTACTATTTTTATCTCTATTTTACAGATAAGGACACTGAAGCAGAAAAAATAGAAGTTAACTTTTCCGAGGTTATATAGGTAGCCAGTAGGTAGAGTGAATATTCAAACCTAGGCAGCCTAATCTTGGAGCCTACATTCTTAATTACAGTAATATTCAATATGCATGTTTGTGTATTTATTTAAGTAACATCTACTTATTGAAAATGGCTATGCTAAGTCCTAGAGAGGGAAGATGTAGAATATAACACGTTAATTCCTTTTCTATTGAGTGTGTTATAATTACTTTCATCTGTATTCTTTTTGATGCTCTTAATGACACAGTTGGCTGGTCACCTCCTGGACCATTTTGACACATCCCCATTGAATACTCCTCCTTCCTGCCACAATAGAGTTCTTGGCTCACTCTGTCCTTCCCCTGTCCCAGTCCTGGAATCAGGTCTCTGAGAAGCAGTGGTCATTATCTCTTCCAAAATTACCTTCTACCCCATTCTCTAGTGTTTCCTAATCAGAAAATTTTGGTTAGATTCATGTTAAAAATTCTCAATAGATTCTCCAGAGCTCTTAATCTTTCATATTTTCCACGACTTTGTGCTTCATTTTATAAATTTCTTAAAATACCCTCTCTAGTTTAATAATTCTATCTTCAGCTTTATTAAATTTGTATTTACAACATTAAATTTTTTATTTAAATGATTATACATTTATTTCTAGAAGTTTCTTTAGTTTTTTATCAAATCTTCCAGGACATTTTTGTAGTCCCTGATTCACTCATATTTTCATACTTTACTTTTTAAACATATAAAGCATACCCATTTTCTATTCTCTATCAGAAAATTCTAATGTCTGTGGTTTTTGTAACTCTAATTTCATTTTGGGGGAGTTGAAAGGCTTAGTCTCTCGCTCAAAGTGGTGAATTTCTTTTTGATTTTTTTAAATTATAAATTCATTCTATAGGAATGGGAATTATTTGCAAGCTGGGAATAAGATCCATTCCTCAAGAAATAATTTATTTTTCCTCTGGGCAGTTGAGAAACTTTCAACTCATAACAACATTGAACTAATTTCTCACTTAGGGAATTTTGAGACACCAGTTATATGGATTCTGATTCAATCCCAGGTGACCTTGTTTGTGGTTATAAATTATAAGAAGAAACTCTTTCCTTCTCTCAGAGCCAAGACTAAGATACTCAAGTTTCTTTACAAAGCAATACTCAATTTTCTTCTTACAAAGCAAGACTTTTTATGTTCCTGGTTTAATCTTTCACGGATGGCCTCATTTGGGAGAAGACTCATATTTGGGAAGTCTCTGTACTGACTTACATTTTGTATGCGGCATGAGTATTTATTCTGTGTCTTGCTCATGCAATGAAAATGAAGTTCAAGGGTACCAGGTAAATGCAGAAACTGCCAGCAACAGAAACTGGGATCTTCCCTAAATCTTTAGGTGGTGTTTTTTTTCCATTTTGGATTTTCAGGTGCTCTATAAAAATGTGTTGAATAAAGGAATGCCTTAAATACTTTCCCCCATTTTGCTACCCATTCACATTTCAAGACTCAACTCAGGAAAAACTATTTAGTCTAAACACTGAAACAATCTGCAATATTTGCAATACTCATAATATCCAACACATCCATTAAACATTTGTTATTATTAATCAATAGTTAACTCTTATTCAGTTACACAAAATTTTTAATATCAATACTTACTATATGTTTACCATTCCTCTTTCAACTGACCCTCACTTCTGCCACAACTGTCATAACCAATCCTTATATTTCCCCTTTCCAAAAAAAAAAATAGCTCTAATTCAGGTGCCTAAAAGCAGCCAATCTTAAATGCAGTAGTTAAACTAGGCCAATGTAAGTTATTAGAAGCTAGTATTCTAGAATTAAGAGGGGTTTGATTATATAGTTAGTGTACAATACTATATTGGTTTCAGGTGCACAATATGGTGATGCAACATTTACATAGTTTAGAGTGTGATCATCACACCAGGTCTAATAATCATCTGGCACTGTGCAACTCATCACAGTGTTATTGACCGCATTCCCCTGCACTTTTCTCACCCATCCCCCACCCCACCCCTCTAGAAACCATCCGTTTGATCTCCTTTTCTATCTGTTTTTGTTTTCTTTTGTTCGTTTGTTTTGCTTTTTTGATTCCACATGTAAATGAAACCATATGGTATTTGCCTTTTTCTGTGTGACTTATTTCATTTAGGACCTAGAGGGTATTATGCTAAGTATAATTTAGAGTTTTAATAATTCAGAAATTGGATACCATAAAAGGGAGTATGTCTCCTATCACAGGTGTCTCCTGGCAGAGATTTGATAAGAACTTTCTGGAGAATATTGTAGAAAATATTATTTTATACCATAAAAATAGTTGGGCTAGAAAGGCTTTAAGTTCTCTTATACACAGAGACTTAATGATACCATAAAAGTGCCTCACATAGGTTAAATCCAAATCCTTTACCTTCAGAAAACAAGAATTAAGTTTTGTATACTGAAGTTATTATAAAACACTTTCCTCATCTTTCTTTCTTTTTCAGACCTCTCTATTTAAATTACAATTTCATGCGAAGTAATTATAACAAAATTTAAAACTTAATGTTTCAAATTTATAGACAGATTCATTAGTCAAGAATGACAGATTGTAATTTACTGACATTTCACATTCTAGTGTGTGGGCTGGGTGGATGTCATATGATTTTCTACTGTTGGAATTTCTAGCACATGTGTGTTAAATACAATGCCAATTCCTCGCTAGATAGTGAACTCTTCCGTGGTCTCTTGAGGACAAGGGCTGTGCTTTTATCCATCATCCACTTATTCAATCATTCATTCAACAAATATTTACAGAATGCCTATAGTATGACGGGCAGTCTGCTAGGCCCCAGAAATGTAAAAAATAGCCTGGGGACTATGAAGGCTATACTCTGGGAAATGAATTAACCAAATAATGATATAATTACACAAAAAATTGAGTATAATTGAGTAATTCCAATTACAATGCTATGAACATTTATTTCCATTATCTCATAAATTTAAAACAAGGAGTGAAAAGTATCCTTTAGCTTTTGTAACTGGGAGTTTATTGCGGGAAATGTTCACAGAAAGATGGAGGCAGAAGCAGGATTTCTCCGGGCTGAAGGACTAAAGTGTCTGGAGACAATAAATGGCCTCTCCTTCCAAGAGGTGTGGTTTAAAGAGAAGAAGAGAGATGAAATGATCACTACAGGACATAAGTTTGAGAAGAAGATGTTTGGGGTATTGATTTAGTTTAAGAGGGAAGAGCCTTTAGAGTTCTTGCATATTATAAGAAGTGGGGAGCTGAAAACATAGGGGGAAACCAAATGACATGATAAATGAGATAAGTTACTGGCAGAGAAAGCATGGGGTAGAATTTAGCCATGATCTAGAGAAAAGAGGCATTTTGTTCTAAAAGGACAAAGTAGACCAGGTGGTTATTGATAAATTTCCAATAAGTTAATCAAGAATACCTTTATTTTCTCCATTAAGTGGGGGTTGAGGTCATTTACTAAGAGAAGGGGATACCCATTGGATAAGGGTCTCCGAGAGAGTGGCAAAGATTTGAAATACATATCAAGAGGGTGGGAAAAGAATTGACCAAGGTCAAATAGAAGGTTTTAAATTTGATGGCCTTTTTGTTTTTTTATCCTCACCCCAGGACATTTTTTCATTTTTT